TGTGGAAGCCTGGCTAGCTGACCGGGGACATGTAAACATTGAAATGTTAAGCCAGCAGGAACTTAATAATTATCGCACACAGCTGGTGTAATAGCCAATGAAAGACAAGACTATTGTAGCTAATAACTCTGATAGTATAGATACTGTTGCAAGTATAGTGGAATGTTTGGCAAAAACACTGCACCTCTATTGTTAGACCATCTGGTTGAAACCGACCTCGCAGTCTGAAGCTCTGCCAACTCAACATTCTGGGCCAAAGGTGAAGGTACCCGGTGAGGAAGACTGTGAATCTTCCTCCAAAAGACCCCAATAGACGACCACCAGACGGCAGTACGCGTGTGCCAGGAGGAGGGACCCTATGATAATAGATTCTTAGAAGTAATTAAAATATCCCGCCTTTTCTTAGAACTAGTTATACTAACCCAGCCTATAATAATAAATATGTAAGAAGTAAGCCTATAAAGTCTGATGATTGTATTCTAATAAACGAAGTATGCTGATCACTCATATTGAGTGACTGTGTCTTCCCTCCGTTCCGGCGAAAGGCGTAACAACCAGCCTTGGCAGAAGAAGTACTATTTGTGTCAGTTTTCTGTGATCCTTTAAGACCAATTCAGAATGCCAGACTGAACAATCAATATTTAATTTGGAGACAAATATTTTGATAACTTGGGAGAAATATTGAAATTATTATTCAGCCCACAGTTCAAAAAATTCTAAACCATTTATAGATCATAGTCTCTCTGAAAAGCACTAAGATTTAATGCAGACAGCAATCCAAGATGAAATAAATAATCTGTATTCCTTAAAAGTTCTTCCAAGAGTGTACACTCCTCACTGATAACAGGTCAAGTTTTAGATTCACTGCATCCAGATGAGAACATTTGGAATGTAGTTTTTCAAAGGAACTGAATTTAAAACTCTCTTATCTTCACTTCTTGAGTTTGAACGCTTTACCTTAAATCCTCTGCGGCAGCAAATGGATACTATTGATCTCATAGAGGAAATTCATACACATACGGGATAGATGATGAATTTTTTGTTGTGCCTATCTTGAGACTAATAAATTATATCACTGTATATTTACATACCTGTCAAAAAAATGAAGATTTTCTTTCTTTATTATAGCATCTGAATGCCTTGTACAGTCTAGCATACACACTCTTAACTGATGGTCAAGCTGATAGTGCTGAATTACTATTGCCCTGTAGTAGAATTCTGTGCTGAGATCATGTAAAATATCTCAGTGGGCAAGACTGATCATTTCATCAATAGTCTTCTGAAATGTGTTAAGCAGAGACATAAAGTCAGAGGTTCTTCATTGGATTTCTGCTAACTTTACTTCTAAGTATGAGAGACATATTCAGGTGACTTTGTGCTGCTTGTACCAAGTCCCTCCTGATTTATGAACGCAAAAGAAAAAGCATTGTCTTTTGAATGAGTTCATTAAGGAACAGCAATGCTCATTTGGTTTAAACAAGAGGGCTCTCCGATCATGAAAAACCTCTCAAGTTTGGCTGCCTCACAAATCAATCTTGATTTGTACTAGTTTTAAAGTGAAAGTAAACTGTTATTCCAAGCTTTTCCTAAAGCTTAAGGTTAGAGATCAGCTCAGCTTCTTTTTAAGCAGTAAGAGTTTTGAGACACCGATGAGTCTGCATTATTTAGGAAAGCTGGATGCCTTTATTGCCTTTGAGTGTGAATATTTATGTTCACACAGATCTAGCTATATAGAGGCTTTCATTACAGGAGACTTTCAAGGTATGTTTCTAAGTACAGCTCAAGGTAGTGACCAGAAGAGCTGGCATCATCAGAAAGGATGGCATTTTCTTGCTTTCTTTTAATTCAAGATATGAATTTGGATGTAGGATGAAAAATGAACTGGTTTTTGAACTATGCTTAAATGGATGAAGATCAAATTATTAACTTGCTTTTTATGTCAGTAGTCTTTGATACTGCTGATCACAAGGGTTTACTAATTTATCATTAAAGCTAATAAAGTTATGGGATCCTTTTTCTACCTTCCGAAGAAGGAATCGAAGATGAGAAGATGCAACTGCAAATTACCAGGACTAATACCTCGCATGATGGTCTAATTCTGACAGTATTCCTATTCTGTGGTCATGTAAAATAGGAGATTTTTTTGGCCATTATGTCCTAGCATTCAAATGAAGCCAAGGCAGTATTTGCTTGATAGTTTGGGATTTAAACTATTAATCTGAGCTAGGAAACTGTCTAGGTGTTGGGACATTCTCAGAGACAATGAAGTAAACAGGAACAATATGTTGTTATGTATGAGAATAAATATGTTTACAAAATAGACTGCTCATGCTATGAAACTCCAAAGCCACATTTTAAAGCATATTTAAACTCTAGCATAAATGTGTTAGTCATGTATTTCTTTAGCTCCTTTACAGTAATTTCATTCTATGATAGAAGAATCTAAACCTATCTTCCAGACTACACTAAAGTTTGGTTATTTTCTTAACTTAAAAAAGAGGTTGTCACATGAAAGTTTGCTCAAGGGTAGATTCTAGAGAAAACCTGCTCAAAGTATTTTTTTTAGACCTCAGAATTTCTGTTGAATTGCAGAGTTTCTAAAGAAATACAAATGAAATCTTTTAAGTCCAGTTCTCCATTTATGAAGGGAATGGTGTAGTTCACTTATTTCCTTTGTATAAAAGCTCAAGCTATTGTACCTTTTCTATCCCCAACGAAAGTGAGTTCCATCACATTATTTGAAAAATGAATACATGCTTGTTGTGGTTTAACCTGGCAGGCAGCTAAACATTACAGCCGTTCGTTCACTCTCCCCCTACCCCAGTGGGATGGGGGAGAGAATCGGGGGGAAAAAAAAAAAGTAAAATTCAGGGGTTGAGATAAAGACAGTTTAATAGGACAGAAAAGGAAGGGATAATAATAATAATAATAATAGTAATAATAATAATGATAAAAGAATATACAAAATAAGTGATGCACAATGCAATTGCTCACCACCCGCCGACTGATGCCCAGCCAGTTCCTGAGCAGCGGTCACTGCTCCCCAGCCAACTCCCCCCAGTTTATACACTGAGCATGACGTCACATGGTATGGAATATCCCTTTGGCCAGTTTGGGTCAGCTGTCCTGGCTGTGCCCCCTCCCAGTTTCTCGCTGGCAGGGCGTGAGAAGCTAAAAAGTCCCTGACTAGTGTAAGGACTACATAGCAACAACTAAAACATCAGTGTGTTATCAACGTTATTCTCAACCTAAATCCAAAACACAGTACTGTGCCAGCTACTAGGAAGAAAATTAACTCTATCCCAGCCAAAACCAGGACAATGCTCCAACTATAATTGCTCCTCAAGAATGCAGACTACTTATCTCTGCCCAACTAAATGTCATCTGGGAATATATTGAAAAGTAAGAAGGATATTAGTTACCACAATAAAAAAAGATATTGTGACTGATATATGATATAGAATACGAATAATTTTAGTGATTTTCAGTCTTACCTTTTTGCACTCCTGTTTTATCCACTCTAAGCAAGCAGTAAGAATAGGATAGTATTAAGAGAAGCTACCTTACCACTATTTCAGGCACTACCTAATTCAAAACGCCATTTTTTTTCTCAGCCATACACTTACCATGACAAGGTGTCAGAGCCTTTTTGTAAGTCTCTTTAGAAATATGAGCCAGTTTTTGTTCTGCTTTTCCAGCATCCAGTGCTTTATGATCATTTTCCCCACAGATTTCAGAGTTTTTCAGTATAGAGAAGTTCATGGAAGCATTGAGGTTATCAAGAGCTGGGAGCTCCACACTGGAAAGGCCTTCCTGGAAAAAGCTATCTACATTTAATGGCATATTCTTAGAACATTCCACAGGTAAGAATTTTAAAAATTCTGATTTTTGAACTGTAGGCTTTAACTTGCTCATAAAGGAATCTATCTCATGAGGGACTTCCTGGTCATCCAAAATATTCTGCCCCCCCTGATCAATATGCCTCAAATAATTTTTTCCTGGTCTGGTCTCAGTAATATCAGAACTAAACCTCTGTTTGCGCTTTACCTGATTATCAGGAGAATTACTAGTGTGAGGGGTTTTATGTGCCACTGAAGAGGAACTGACTTTCTTTAATGTATTAGCATCATCATCAACTTGTTCTTTAGCTTGTGGTGTATTCATAGCTACACCATTCTGAGTAACTAAAGCTACTTGCGTTTGCTGAGTTTCAGTTATTTCACTTCCACGAACAGCCTCTGCATGCAATGCATCCTTCTCTTTTAATTCTTCATTTTTACAAAGTGAGAACTGTGTAAGATTTTCTTTTGGTATTATATATGCTTTCCGGCTAGCCTTTGCCAATGTACGTTTTAATCTGCCTGGTGAAAAATGGCTACTCTTTTGGTCTACATTCTGAGTAATTTTATGAATGCTGTCACTTTCAGTTTTTCCACTTTGTCTGTAACTACTTTTTTTGTTATATTTTCTCTTTGTAATACTCTTCTGGTCTTGTTTTCTCTTGCTGTCATGTTGGTGTATCTCTGTTTGAGACTTTTTTGAAATATATTCTCCATGCTGCCCATTTTCCTCTCTACAGTCTTTTGCTGTGTTCATTTTAGAAGGGTTTTGAAAAGTTTTCCTGTTTATTTTTGGTCTGCAATGTTTCTTATTTGTATGCAGAAAGTCCCACTGTAAAGGCAATACATTAGAATTGTTATCTTGGAATGGTAAATTTCCAGCACAATAAACTTCTGGTGGGATCTTGCTAATAGATGAGTTTGAGTCTGCTTTTTGTGTTTTGTTTTCCATGTCTTCAGGCATTTCTGAGAAAGTTTCTTTATTTGTCTCCTGTTTTCTTGGACTCATTAAGTTAACCTGATATGTCCTCCTAGTATCTTTAGCTTTACTTGGACAACTCTGTGCTCGATAATATTTGCTGGTATTTAGCAAACTGTGTTTCCCCACAGAAACAGAATTTCCTGTAGGTAGCTGTTCTGTCTGACTCTGGAATAGTTGAGTTTGTGTGTCAGTAGTTTTTGAAACTTCACTATTGTCAGCCCTAGTGTGCCTTTCTTCTGCATACAAATTTGAACCGACTTCAGTCTTGCTTTTAATTTTCTTTTTATCCTTCTTAGAATATTTTACTTTTCTGAAATTTGCTAATATTTTATCAGAATTGGCATTACTATTTTTATTTCGGTGTAATTTATCTTTGTCTTTCGCTGTAACTGTGAGTAGTTCACCTGCATCACTGGCGGTCAACTCCATATCAGCATCATAAACAGTTTCTTCAGGCTTCATCTTGTCAGTAGAAAGCAGCTTCTTAAAAGCTATCTTACTTTCATTGCTAAATTTAAGAGGTGAAGGAATAATGCGAGACAAGTCACTTGAACTTTCCTGCAAATTCATGTCATTGGTGGTGCTGCCACTGTTGATACCATGATGAGGCAGATTATTTGAGTTACATTTTTTATCAAAATCCTCTGTATTATCTTGAGTTTTTGACTTATGAAGTACTGCATGTTTCTTTCTTTCAGTCACATTTCCACAGAATGGCAATGAACTATCATTATATTGTTTTGTAAGCTCCTCAGACTGTCTTAAAGACTGTGTATTATTTTTGACACGAGTCAGGAAGGCACTATTGCAAGTTAGTTCTGTGCATAATTGATTTTCTGCAAAGAGAAAAATTTCAGCAGCTTGGGGAAAGAAAGAATAGAGTATAGTTATCAGAATAAGACAGATTACTGAAGGTTGGACCAGAATCATGGAAAATTACAAACTGCGTATTTTTTTTTTTCTTCTGAATACACACACTCTGTGGTTGGCCCTTAAAAATTTAGTTATCTAGAACTAATTTCGTATTTTACCAAAGTTGGACTTTTGAAATTGGGTGTAAATAAAAATGTACTTTTCTATAACTACTTCAGTTATTATTTGGTTATCTTATCAAAGTTTTGTTCTGTTCACATTAATTTTGTTACAGTTCGGCATTGTTATTTCAATGAACTTTACAAGTGATTGTCAGGACACATACTTACAGGTGAGCATTCTATTTTTTATTGGTTTATTACAGTTTAGGAATCTTACTATACCTTCTTTATCGCACATCAAGTAATGAATTATTAGATACTAATTCTCAGATAGCTCTAAAAAATAAATCACATGTACAGAAATACATCATACCTTTTAAAAATATATTTTTGTCAACGGTTGTTTCCACTGGGTCTATTTCAATTAACTTTTGATTATTTGTACCAGAAGGCAATGGTAATGCAAACTTGACTCGATCTGAAGGCATTTCCTTTGTCAAAATAGTGATACACTCATAAGAACTTGGTATTTCACACACAGAAGGGCTATCTTGCTGTTTTGCATTAGCTGTTGCAATTAGAGGAAGCTTCACTGGCAATTCTACAGATCTGAAAAGATGACATTTTACTGTGAAGATTTTTGTTACATTTTATGCTATAACATTCAATTGTTTAAAACATTTCCTTAATAATGTATAAAAGCAGAAAACAAGAACTCAAGTATGAAATCTGGTTCTATCTTAGGGGCAAATGTATTTTTTATGATAGAGAATCCTGCTGTGTGCTGGTGAGATCTCATGAGGAAAGCAGCAAGTTACTCAAACACAAGTTTTGTCTACCACTCTCTCTCTCTCTAAATTCCAAGTTGCAAATAGGTAATTTCTGAATTAGACAGGAAATTGTTTCTCATTACCTCAAAAATACCTAGGACAATATACAAAGATTAGTTGTAAAAAAATCCACAGACACTTACCAACTTCCACATTTAATATAACCACCTACCTAGCAGACAGACATGTACTCTTGAACTGGTCATCAGTAGGGCTACTCGGACCAGCTGACAGAGGAAGACAGCCCTGAAGATTCTTTCAAAAGAAGAACAGTGGGGAAGTAGAAGCAGTTGAATATTCTCTTATGTTTTAAGTATCACAAATAACCACAGGAAAAAAAATAACGAATGGGCAAAAAATAGAAGTACTGATGAAAGGTGCATGATATTCAAACATACACAATAATTTTAAAGAAAAATATTTTCTAGCAAAACTTATCAAAATCTGTAACCTACTTGCATTCCGAAATAATATATAGACTTTTTAAATGTAGCTATAACTCATACAAAGTGCATTATACATAGAGAAGCACAGAGCAACACTAAGCAACTGTTTAGAACAGACAATAAAAATAATGTTTTTTTTTAAATTAACTGTAATTTTGCCATGACACAAGGACTAACATGGACTGTGTTTTCTGGTAAAGTTTCCACATGCAAGATATTTATTGCAGAACCAAGCAAGGAAGGCAAGTAGCTTGCTCATTGGTGAAGAATACCACATACTGAAGAACTATGTTTTTTTTTTTTTTAAAACCACATGACTTCATCAGGGCTAACTGATATTTAGATACTTTGTAAACAAGATTAAATCCTAAATTTTTAGTGCAAGCAACAGCAAGATTTAATTTATTTCACTAGACTAGGGTTTCATCCCAAGTTTTAAGGAATTGGGGTAAATGTTTTAGAATGCATATATGATTTCAACATGGCACTCATTTAGGTGCTTTGAAAATATTATCCTGGAAAACAAGTTCAACGTGGTAATAGTTCAAAAAACATCTTACCTCAGAAAGACTGCTTATTTCTATTGCAGTTAAGAGGTTATAATTCAAAAATGCTTCTATTTCTATGAGAGTTTTATTCTGCATGTAAAAGAAAAAGTAATTTAAAAAATATACTTTAAGTGGCTTCTGGCTTAAGAAAAGACAAGATATAAAGGTGAATCTACGTTGTAATTTTTTTTTTTTTACACTCAATTGAGCACAAACTGATTTTTAATACCATCTCAATACCTATAAATATAAAGGTGAAACTGACACTAAAATAGCTGTGGATAGGCAGATATACTGATGGACAAAATATTAAATACAAAAAAATTCTATGAAAGAAAAACCAAATGTGAATACTATGCTATCAGATGACATAACTTCACAAATCTGATGTACATATTAAATAACCATTTTAAGAAGCAATATTAAATTTCCAAAAAAGATAAAAGCTTGGTTTAGCTGATCTAAGTTTAAATGATATCATTTGCAACATACCAAACAGCTTAGTTTTCGACGAAGCAAGATATTATGAAGCTGCAGCTTTTCTACTTCCTTCTGAAGAAAAATCTTCTCATTCTTTAGCTTCCGAGAATTTTCTTTCTCCACACTCAAAGCCAGAGCTAATGCTTTATTATTTTGTTTTAAAGATACTTTAAACATAGATGAGTTATCTAAAGGAGACAAAATCATATTATTTTCAACAGCTTCAATTCCAGGCCCTCTCTGCATGAACTATCACTATATAACAACATTTTTATCTGTAGGTTTTGGTGGAACAATAGCAAAGCCTAACACTTTCTAATATAAAACTGTTTCTGTTGGCAGTCATTCTGATGACTACTCTGTCAGCTTCAAGTTCATTTCATGCACGGATTCTGCTCTAGTCTGGATTTTTTAAAATAAGGTTATTTTAAGAAGAAAGCATTTAAAAATAGATAGTCTCACAGGCATAAAAGTGTTTCCAAATTTCTAAAAAACAAATATACATTTAACAAATTTTCAAGTTCAAACATTTTGAAATAATAAAAGGACTGTCATGGTTTAACCTCAGTCAGCAACTGAGGACAACCAGGACAAGCATAAATGTGAGTTTTGACAACAGAAAGAAAAAAGCTTTAAATTAGAAATATACCTTCCACTGTCCTAATGAAAACCTGCCTACTCAAATCTGTTACAGAATGTTTTAGGAATTTAACTTTTTTTTTCCAGTGACACTGCATATTACCAAGATGATTTTTTTGCCTCACATTCATAGTATACACAGAGTTAATTTGAACTCAAGGTAGAGACAAGTCTGACCATACTCTTTTATAGTACAAAAAGGTGCAAGGTTAGCTTGAAGTCTGCTCCAACTACATCTCCTAATGTTATTACTTCTATGATCTGTAATCTGAAATTTGCAAGGCCTTATTTCCTTGCTTTGGGAAACAGGCAACAACAGTGGAACCTTGTTAATCCAAACATTATGCTCTGAAATTACTATTCAGCTTAGTAAATTATTTGTATTACTGCAGTGTGGAGATTTTTAAAGGACAGTACTATTATTCATCTACACTGTTTATTTTTCACTGAAAATTAGTATTTTTGACATAAAGCCACAGTAAGTTTAAATATATATAAACAATAAAAATTATAAATATATATACACAAACAATAAAAATTCTTGCCACACTGATCACAGAAAGAGAAGCAGAAGTCAACATTCACCTAACCATGCTGCTTGAATTAGAGCTCTGAAATAGCAGTGTTTCACTACCTTTATAGTTTCCCTACCTTTTGCAGAAGAGGATCTGAGATGTTCCATAGTGCTGTTTTTGTCAGAGCCAGAAAAAAAACCAACCATCTACCATGACAAACCTGCGTTTGAGTTTAATCCTGACTTACTGGGAAAACAAAGTACCTTCTGGCAAGTGATTAAATCAGCAGATTAATATTTGTGGTTTTCCCTGGTTCAGTAAATGACTCAATGAAGAATTTTATACAAATCCCATTTTGCAAATGGGAATACGAGGTATTTTACCATGGCAACTATATTGTAAAAGGTCATTGATTTTACTCATTTTGGTACCTCAGTTTTTAGACGCCCCAAATGGACGTGGACATGGATGTTAGAAATGCGCTTCAGTACACTCTTGTAAAAAACACTGGCATGCCAAAGAGCAAGCACTGAAAACACTTAGAGAATTAATTAAATAAACAACTTACAATCATGTGTTTTAACTTTCAGACTCTTCTAAAATTCTCAATATACCACATTAATATTTTTAACAGGCAGCAATTCAGGAAATCACGTTAAATACAGTTACTCTTCCTTTTGAAGTCATACATTCTAAGTATAGTAAATGGCTTCAGTTTTATTTTAACGGGACTTACTAATTAATTTAGTTTTGATTTTAGATGCTAAAGAAGCATTCCATTTTGCAGCTTGTAACGTTCCATTCCTCTTCTTCGTATATCCTTTAACAGCATCCGAGGTGAAAATGGTAGATGATTTAGCAGTTGCTTGTTTGTCCATCATCAAAATGAACCTGTACATTGTCAAGAGAAATGCCCAAATAATCCATGATCTTTCTCACACTTTTTAAAATCAAGTTTCATTACGTTTTATCAGGATTTATTATCTCTGAAATTGAGAAAATTGTTTCAGTCTTTACCTTTGTTCAATTAATTCAAACAGGTTAATGAATTGTTCCTTGAGACTTAAGTCACATTATCACAGAGTGGCAAAATATTTAACTAATAAACAAGACTAATAGGATCACAGATTTTTCCTCTTGTCCATTCCCTCAAGTTACCTATCCAAGTTTACACTTAAAAGGGAAAAACCCCAAGGTTCTATCACTTCACAATATGACCAGACCAGCTTTTGCTTTGTCAGGACAAATTTTAAATTGAAGCATTTAAATAAACTGCATTATAAATGCTATAAATTTAAATAAACAGCGAGAGAGACCGGCCCGCAAGCACAGGTAGAACAGGGAGCGGTGTCCCAGCACACGGCTTCGAGGAG